ACATCAGTTTAATAAAGTAAACATTAGTAATGCAATTGTAACTATCAATTAGTTCACTACATATAAAACTACACAGCTAATATTATTATTTATAATCCATATAAATAATTTATAGAGTTAAAACCCTACAGTACCTTCCCCTACAGTTCCCCAGGCTAATGACCTCAGTTGTCGAAGCCCTAACCATAAAAAAAAAAAAAATAATTTATAAAAGTTACGTATAAATATTAATCACAAACAGTGTTTATACTGAGTAAAATAATTACATAGGTAAAAATGTGAACACGCCTTGTAAAAAAAAAAAARTAAACAAAAAATAGTGTTAAAATATTGAATTTAAAATTCGTCTCCCATTTTAATAATATAACACATTTACAGAACTAATCTTGAAGGTATATATTATAATATCCGAAACATATTTTTCATAAAAATATAATGTCATTGTGATTGCATTGGGCTGTATCAGTCAATAAAGGAAAAAATGGATTTTTTAAGTTAGGTAAATTTATTGTTTTTACTGTTTTTACCACGCATCATACATTTTACTGAAGGCCTACAGATAGTAAAATTTACAAAATAACTTAAAATTAATTTACAAAACTAAAAAAAAATAACAACAAAAATTACCTCCTATATTCTACTACTAATATAACACTCAAGACTGAACAAAAAAATATAATATGTTTGATATAATTATATGTTATAATAAGCGCACGATGATTATTGTTTTTGTTATTTTTTTTCTRTACCAACTGGCAGTTGGAAAAAATGGCTTAGTTTATTGTATAGATTAAACGCTTAGCGAAATAAAATAGAATAAAAAACAGATTGACATAAATTATATTCAGTATCCGAAAAACAAGTCCACCGCAGTCGAACAATTATATGAACTAAATCGAGAATTGTCCATGGCCCAGCCTTGTAAATAGTTACCTATTTATAACAACACGCAATATTTCGAGTTCTTCTAATTATATTATAAATATAATAACRTATTACCCCCTATATAATATTAAATTATCGATCACCAGAAACAAAAAAAATTATAACAGTATTATATGTAATATGTATATTATATTCAATTATCGACGTACAAAAATGCGATTAAGATGATTTATAAAGTTAACTGGTGATCCTGTTCCATTACGTTTTTTATTTTATTTTTTCAAATGACTGAATATAATTACATAGAGCTATTTAGTTCGAAAAATTTAATATTYCATTACTCGGATAATTGAATTAATATAACTAAAACATAATACCTATAAGTATGGAATTAATTTTTTACAAAAGCAAAAACTTTATTTTTGGAGATGAAACTTCGTCAAAAAATAGATTGCATATAGCACGTCATATAGGTACCAAATATACTTGATTATTTTATTTATTATAATAACCATCAGATTTTCTGAACTGATTGTCATAATTTTTAATTATTTGAAAAAAAGATTATTAATATATTTATATCTAGAATAAAATKATCAGTATATTTCAGTCTATGTATTTCGCTTAAGATTATCAAATAATTGAAAATACAYGACTCATCCATGATCGTCTACAGTGGTGGTAAATCCACGACAATATCATGATAGCATTAAAGTGAAGTGAATTACCTACCTAAATGGTTAAACTTTTAAAATACGTGCCTATACGGAACTGCCACTTCGGGTGGTTGCAAACCACGAATGTATGTGACGTTTTTATTTTTCAAAAACAATCGACGACGTGGCTGTCCCAGTATAGGTACTGGATATAAATTTTAAAAAATCTGTTCTGAAAAAAAAAAACTAGTCGGTGCGAACAAACACGCCACTGCAGCCGCAGTGTTATTTGTATATATTATACTCTATATATGCGGAATTATACATTTTTGTATATTCGAAACGGGTAACAATACGAAACACGCGACACCGCTTGACGTGCAGATAATATGATAGAGTGAAAAAATAATTTATAAAAATGTTATATCGTATCAGCTATAGCTATTATGTGACGTGGGAAAGATTACTAGTAACTGCGAGTGATGCTCCGCTGTTACGGCGCGACGACTGCACTGCCGCGACGATTGCTCAGACGCGATTGATCGAAAAACGGTCTCGCCGAAAGCGCGAACGACCCGGGACGATACGCAGAAGTAGCAGCGTATCGGGTTACGTGACGGCGGCAGGGCGTAGGCGCTGTTCGGCGGGCGGCCTTGACGACGACGACGTCGACGGGCCGTAAGAAGGAAGACGAGCGAATACAGGTATCGCTATCGCTGTACTGCGGGACGGCTGCCGTGAGGACGCGATGTACGCGATGGGACGCGCGATTGAGCGATAATGGCCGCCGCCTCGGGCGAAAGGAACAATAATAATAATAATAATAATAATAATCGCTCTGATGCCACCCGCCGCCGCCGCAACGGCAATGACATTGGCCGCGCGCCGACTACGGTCCCGCGCGGTATATAAACAGCCCAACGTCTGGTACTTCTCACCATTCGTCCCGAAGCACCGTACCAAACCGTAGCAGCTTGAACCGACCGAGTTCGATCCGTTCGCCTAGTACAACACCATCACAGTCACCACCAACTCATCCAACGTCATGATGTCTCCACTGGTGAGTACCCACATAACATAATATTGTTATTATATTTATTATCCGRYATTATGGTTTTTTGTAACGTTTTTCCACACAACTCTGCGAGTGTCTTCTCGTCCACCGACTCGGCACTTCGATGAATAATCCTATATAAAGCACGCCATTGCTTTCATTAA